AAAACACTTAAAGCTTTTACCGCTCATAAGTTTAGTGTTGTCAGTGATTGATGGCCCGAGAATTATTGCTCTCACTGCGACGTTCACGGAATGAGTAACATGTGTTGCGCAATTGTCGTTTTTACATGTAGCCACACCGACGCGTGTTTATGTGCGTGCACGTGGGCGGCGGGGACTTTAAAAAAAATGTTATGTTACTTTTTTTTTTACACTAACCTTATTGCTAACAAGGGGACCGGATCACTTATACAAGAAGAGCCTTCGCTGGCTGTTAGAAATGACACCAAGAAAACGGCTGCAGCAGCTTTGTTCTTGTTTTAACCACTTCTGCGGGCCGCTGTATATACGTATTGCGGCACGGAAAACCCTTGCGTTGGACATACTAGAGGAAATGATGGTCAGAGACTGCGGCCATACTAGAGGAAATGATGGTCAGAGACTGCGGCCGTACTAGAGGAAATGATGGTCAGAGACTGCGGCCGTACTAGAGGAAATGATGGTCAGAGACTGCGGCCGTACTAGAGGAAATGATGGTCAGAGACTGCGGCCGTACTAGAGGAAATGATGGTCAGAGACTGCGGCCGTACTAGAGGAAATGATGGTCAGAGACTGCGGCCGTACTAGAGGAAATGATGGTCAGAGACTGCGGCCGTACTAGAGGAAATGATGGTCAGAGACTGCGGCCGTACTAGAGGAAATGATGGTCAGAGACTGCGGCCGTACTAGAGGAAATGATGGTCAGAGACTGCGGCCGTACTAGAGGAAATGATGGTCAGAGACTGCGGCCGTACTAGAGGAAATGATGGTCAGAGACTGCGGCCGTACTAGAGGAAATGATGGTCAGAGACTGCGGCCGTACTAGAGGAAATGATGGTCAGAGACTGCGGCCGTACTAGAGGAAATGATGGTCAGAGACTGCGGCCGTACTAGAGGAAATGATGGTCAGAGACTGCGGCCGTACTAGAGGAAATGATGGTCAGAGACTGCGGCCGTACTAGAGGAAATGATGGTCAGAGACTGCGGCCGTACTAGAGGAAATGATGGTCAGAGACTGCGGCCGTACTAGAGGAAATGATGGTCAGAGACTGCGGCCGTACTAGAGGAAATGATGGTCAGAGACTGCGGCCGTACTAGAGGAAATGATGGTCAGAGACTGCGGCCGTACTAGAGGAAATGATGGTCAGAGACTGCGGCCGTACTAGAGGAAATGATGGTCAGAGACTGCGGCCGTACTAGAGGAAATGATGGTCAGAGACTGCGGCCGTACTAGAGGAAATGATGGTCAGAGACTGCGGCCGTACTAGAGGAAATGATGGTCAGAGACTGCGGCCGTACTAGAGGAAATGATGGTCAGAGACTGCGGCCGTACTAGAGGAAATGATGGTCAGAGACTGCGGCCGTACTAGAGGAAATGATGGTCAGAGACTGCGGCCGTACTAGAGGAAATGATGGTCAGAGACTGCGGCCGTACTAGAGGAAATGATGGTCAGAGACTGCGGCCGTACTAGAGGAAATGATGGTCAGAGACTGCGGCCGTACTAGAGGAAATGATGGTCAGAGACTGCGGCCGTACTAGAGGAAATGATGGTCAGAGACTGCGGCCGTACTAGAGGAAATGATGGTCAGAGACTGCGGCCGTACTAGAGGAAATGATGGTCAGAGACTGCGGCCGTACTAGAGGAAATGATGGTCAGAGACTGCGGCCGTACTAGAGGAAATGATGGTCAGAGACTGCGGCCGTACTAGAGGAAATGATGGTCAGAGACTGCGGCCGTACTAGAGGAAATGATGGTCAGAGACTGCGGCCGTACTAGAGGAAATGATGGTCAGAGACTGCGGCCGTACTAGAGGAAATGATGGTCAGAGACTGCGGCCGTACTAGAGGAAATGATGGTCAGAGACTGCGGCCGTACTAGAGGAAATGATGGTCAGAGACTGCGGCCGTACTAGAGGAAATGATGGTCAGAGACTGCGGCCGTACTAGAGGAAATGATGGTCAGAGACTGCGGCCGTACTAGAGGAAATGATGGTCAGAGACTGCGGCCGTACTAGAGGAAATGATGGTCAGAGACTGCGGCCGTACTAGAGGAAATGATGGTCAGAGACTGCGGACATACTAGAGGAAATGACTTCAGAGACTGCGGACATACTAGAGGAAATGATGGTCAGAGACTGCGGACATACTGGAGGAAATGATGGTCAGAGACTGCGGACATACTGGAGCAAATGATGGTCAGAGACTGCGGACATACTAGAGGAAATGATGGTCAGAGACTGCGGACATACAAGGTCAGAGACTGCGGACATACAAGGTCAGAGACTGCGGACATACAAGGTCAGAGACTGCGGACATACAAGGTCAGAGACTGCGGACATACAAGGTCAGAGACTGCGGACATACAAGGTCAGAGACTGCGGACATACAAGGTCAGAGACTGCGGACATACAAGGTCAGAGACTGCGGACATACAAGGTCAGAGACTGCGGACATACAAGGTCAGAGACTGCGGACATACAAGGTCAGAGACTGCGGACATACAAGGTCAGAGACTGCGGACATACAAGGTCAGAGACTGCGGACATACAAGGTCAGAGACTGCGGACATACAAGGTCAGAGACTGCGGACATACAAGGTCAGAGACTGCGGACATACAAGGTCAGAGACTGCGGACATACAAGGTCAGAGACTGCGGACATACAAGGTCAGAGACTGCGGACATACAAGGTCAGAGACTGCGGACATACAAGGTCAGAGACTGCGGACATACAAGGTCAGAGACTGCGGACATACAAGGTCAGAGACTGCGGACATACAAGGTCAGAGACTGCGGACATACAAGGTCAGAGACTGCGGACATACAAGGTCAGAGACTGCGGACATACAAGGTCAGAGACTGCGGACATACAAGGTCAGAGACTGCGGACATACAAGGTCAGAGACTGCGGACATACAAGGTCAGAGACTGCGGACATACAAGGTCAGAGACTGCGGACATACAAGGTCAGAGACTGCGGACATACAAGGTCAGAGACTGCGGACATACAAGGTCAGAGACTGCGGACATACAAGGTCAGAGACTGCGGACATACAAGGTCAGAGACTGCGGACATACAAGGTCAGAGACTGCGGACATACAAGGTCAGAGACTGCGGACATACAAGGTCAGAGACTGCGGACATACAAGGTCAGAGACTGCGGACATACAAGGTCAGAGACTGCGGACATACAAGGTCAGAGACTGCGGACATACAAGGTCAGAGACTGCGGACATACAAGGTCAGAGACTGCGGACATACAAGGTCAGAGACTGCGGACATACAAGGTCAGAGACTGCGGACATACAAGGTCAGAGACTGCGGACATACAAGGTCAGAGACTGCGGACATACAAGGTCAGAGACTGCGGACATACAAGGTCAGAGACTGCGGACATACAAGGTCAGAGACTGCGGACATACAAGGTCAGAGACTGCGGACATACAAGGTCAGAGACTGCGGACATACAAGGTCAGAGACTGCGGACATACAAGGTCAGAGACTGCGGACATACAAGGTCAGAGACTGCGGACATACAAGGTCAGAGACTGCGGACATACAAGGTCAGAGACTGCGGACATACAAGGTCAGAGACTGCGGACATACAAGAGGAAATGATGGTCAGAGATTATGGCCAGACTAGAGGAAATGATGGTCAGAGACTGTGGACATACTATAGGTTGGAGACATGCTGTAGAAGACAGAGAGAGATTAGTGATCACTGAGGTAGCCACTTTACCAATTAATGCTCCTGCACCCACTGGACTTCTGGGTCCAAGGGCCCCACAACAAGTTCTGAAGGGCCGCATGTGACAAAGGTTGGACACCGCGGCTTTAAAGGCACACTGACCATGTTTCATGTTACACGCACACTTACACTACAACATAGTCACATTGCCCACATCTGACCCCCCACCACCACTCGGTCGTCATAGCAGAGGGACTCATAGATCTCAATGGAGCACAAGTATGGTGACATCTATGCACTTGTAGTCCTTTGTTCCCTCTCTCCATTTCCATAGGCGAAGGTCTGTACAGACCTGGGACTGGAGGAATAGTCTGCAGGAGCCTGAAATCTGCATATGCGAAGCACTGATCGCGGTTGCAATGCTCTACAAAAACATAACTGCACATTTTTTATCTTATTGATGCAGATGCATCTATTAGATATGTGTAAAAGGTGGACTACACCTTTATACTGTCTCTCTAGATCAGGGGTAGACAATCTCCGCACTCCAGCTGTTGAGGAACTACAAGTCCCATGAGGCAATGGAAGACTCTGACAGCCACAAGCATGACTCCCAGAGGCAGAGGTATAACAGGATCTGTAGTTTCAGCACAGCCGAGGTTCTGAGGTTGCCTACCCCTGCTCTAGACATACCCTTCATTTCAGGGTCATGTATGTATGTAGGTCACTATGTCATGTTTTTATTGTAGCCTGCGTCCCCACTGGGGAGATTTGCCTCTCCATTTATACCAGTGACCACTGGAAATCCAAAATGTTAGCCTTGTCCCCAGAACAAGAGGTGAGGGAAAATCTTCCACTGGGGTCACCTGTCTAGGAGGAGATTTCCTCTCACTTCCTGTTGTGTCTCCAAAACAGAAAGTAAGTGAAAATCTCACAGCAAATAAAAACAGACAGTGGATTAAACCCTTTCCTACACTAGCCAAAACTAAGAGGAAGAAAACAAGTTTGGTTTTACATACACTTTATCTCTTCCTGTTACAGATATTTGGCTGGAGTTAGAAGTATACCTGTAAAAGATTTGTATACCTCATACAGGTTCTCTTTAGAGTGTAGGTGAGAATCACGTGACCCTTCCGTACACAAACAATAGTATGAAGGGGAGCTGTTTCCAGGCCAGGACTCCCTTCTATTACAGCAGGCACAGGCTCCATAGACACAGACACAAACTGCCTCCCTACAGCCCCATTGGAGTCTGGCCTCACTCAGAACCCTCACCTTGATGAGCAGCTGCGGCCATCCCGGCTCCTTTATCTTCCCGTTCTCCTCTGTCCCGCTCCGCCCTCCGGGTTGCCCGGTAACAAGATGGCGGCGTATCCAAATGTCTCCTTTTTTCCCCAAAACTAAACGGGAATATGGGTCATGCGGCGCAACCTAACTCGCGTAGGGTGGGGCGTGTACCGCGAACTCGATCGGCAGCCCTTCCATCCAATACGCACCGCTAACAGGTACCAAGCACCGCCCATAAATAACAGGGCGCGGCTTGCAGGTTAGGCAAGTTCCTAGTTGCGTAAGAGGGTGAGTGATTGGCGAGTACGGGAAAGTAGGCATCGTGATTAGCTAGCTGGGGCTGAGAAGCGGATTGGACGGTAGTGCAGAGTGGGGTGGGGCTGCAGATGAGGGGGCGGGACTGTGTGTTGCGACTGCGCTCTCCGGACAAGGTAAAAAGAGAACCAGTCATTAATATGTTTTGCCAAGGTAAACTCTGGATCTGTCAGTAGAGAGTTTGTAATGGAGTGCTAAAGCTGAAGTGAAAAATAAACACGGCAAATAATGGTGAAGCCAGTACAAGATGAACTCTGTGTTGGTTATTAACTTCAGACTGTCTGCAGAGGTGTCAGGCTTATAAAGGGGCATGCGCTGTGGCAACAACAGGGTGTGGCCAAATTGTGGAGGAGGCGTGGCTTAAAGGTTCAGTTTGACATGTTTAGTTTGTAACATGAAACATGGTTATGTTTCCAACCGCTTCCCTTAAACGCCCCCCCCCCCCCAAAAAAAAAAAAACCCCCTCCCCCCTGCCTTTTTTTAGCGTGCTC